AGGTACTTCTTCTTCGGAGTATGACAGTGACGCGTCCCTAGGTTCCTATTGGGGGAAGGGCGAGGAAGTCTCTGGACTCCCGGACTGGGCACTGTCAAGGAGGGCCAATTGCCATCGTAAAAGTTTGGGGGACCCAGGAGTGGAAGGATGGGGCTCTGGTAAAAGATGCCACCCACATCCACCTACTCAACCTCAGATGTATAACCCGGGTGATCACCTATCCCCTAAACTGCGAGCAAAAATCTTAAATGGTGAGTTTGTTGACATGTTTAAATTAGTGCCCCCAGCAAGAGGAGTTAGGTAGGGGTGAAAAGAGGCCCTCGCATGGTAAGAGAAAGAGCAGTACCCTTCTGTGCCTAGGACTTCGAAAATTGGCTTGATGGTTTTCAAGCCTTATGGGGACAATTGTCGCTGCTTACCCAAGCGGGCGGTTCACCTTGTTGCCTACCTTTCACATATTCGCACGGCCTGTGCCCTCTCGGGGGAGGCGGCGGCCATAAGCTATGACAAGAAATTCAGAAGGAAGGCGCCAGGATCCCGTTAGCATGCTGGGATCAGAATTGAGAATGGAATATGGTCCGTGGCGGTCGGTCCGTACGTGGAAAAGAGGCCAGTCGACTCATATCGGTCGACTAGAAGTGACCAAAGGAGGATTTAAGCGTAGGGTGTGCTGGGAGTTCAACAAAGGGTTTTGCCAAAGGCATCTTGTAAATTCACACATGAATGCGAAAGATGCGCCGGGGGTCACCCTGTTACATCCTGCTTAAAAGGGGGGAAGCAGCCCTTTCGTGGAGGCCGGGGGTTCCATCATCCCAGTTCCAGGGGGGCCCCCGCAGCAGGGAACAGACGGTGAGGTATCTTGGGGTTGGCCTTTTCCCCTATCAAGCTCGTCCCCTTTGTAATCTCCTGTCTCTTTACCCGGATGAGGATGCAGCTTCCTACCTCAGGGAAGGTTTTTCCAGTGGGTTTCGTATTCCCATAGCGGGTTCCATTAATTGCGAAAGATTCACCCAATCAAAAATCAGTTAGAGAGAGACCGGAAGTTGCGGAAAGAAAGATAGCAAAAGAGGTCAGTGCAGGCAGGGTTGCAGGCCCCTTCGATAGTCCCCCCATACCAAATTTGCACATATCTCCGCTAGGCATTGTGCCCAAGAAGACCCCCGGTGAATTCAGGCTCATTCATAACCTGTCCTTCCCAAAGGGTGGCTCGGTCAACGATGCCATCCCGCCCGAGTTATGCACAGTGAAATACGCCACCTTCGATCAGGCAGTTAAGTTGATCCGCAGTTTCGGCCCCGGGGCGTTGTTGGCAAAGTGTGATATCGAATCGGCCTTCCGCCTCTTGCCAGTGCATCCCGCTGATTTCCGGTTGCTGGGTTTAAAATTTCAGGGAAAATACTATGTTGACCGGGCCATGCCAATGGGCTGCGCTGTTGCCTGTTCGGCATTCGAAGCCTTCAGCACGTTCTTGGACTGGCCCTGCGTTTCAGGGCAAATACCATTGGGGTCACGCATTACCTGGACGATTTCCTTTTCGTGGCGGAGCCAACACGGGGGAGTGCGCCTCCTTGCTGGAGGCCTTCTCAGCCCTGGCCGAGGACCTTGGGGTCCCTCTTGCGGCCGAGAAAACGGAGGGACCAGCCACGCGCTTAACTTACCTCGGCATTGAGCTGGATACAGTGGCCCAGTCATCCCGCTTACCTGTTGAAAAGATTGAAGCCCTTAAACAATTAATTCAGGACACTCTTAAGCTCAGGAAGATCACCCTTAGGCAAATTCAATCTTTATTGGGCCACTTTAACTTCGCGTGCAGGGTGGTGTCCCCCGGACGCCCCTTCTGTGCTCGCCTTGCCAGATTGTCAGTCGGCCTGAAACACCCCTCCACAGGGTTCGCCTCCCAGGTCGGTCAAAGCGGATCTCGAGGTCTGGACAGCCTTTTTGGAAAAATATAACGGGGTCTCTCTTTGGCAGGATGTTTTGAACCTATCATCCGACTTTCAGGTTCAATCGGACGCAGCAGGGTCTTTAGGTTTCGGTTTGTATTTCAAAGGGCGCTGGTGCGCGCAACGCTGGCCCTCAGCATGGCAGGGTCAGGCCATCACGCGGGATCTCACCTTTCTCGAGTTCTTTCCAATAGTAGTGGCCGTGCACATCTGGACAGAGGAGTTCCGAGATCACCGAGTGTGCTTCAGGACCGACAACCTGGCGGTGGTGAACATTCTTGCCAGGCAGTCATCGCGGTCTGCGAGGGTCTCCTCTCTCCTGCGGGCGTTCGTCCTCCGTTGCCTTGAGTACAATATCTTATTTTCAGCCAAATTCGTACCAGGTGCCAATAATGATATAGCCGACGCCTTGTCTCGATTCCAGATTCCTCGTTTCCGGTCGCTCGCACCTGGAGCACAACTGTTGCCCGAACCCTTTCCGGAGTACCTGTGGAACGTTGGAGGCGCAAAGTGATACAGGGAGTATTAGCGTCTGTGGCACCTTCCACGCTCAGGTCCTATAAGAAGGCCTGGTGTGATTTCCTGGGTTTCAGGTTTGGGTTGTCTGGGCTGTCACATAACACCCCCCCCACCACTGATGACGTCCTGCAGTACCTGTCCCATCTGGATGACCTCGGACGTGCTACGAAAACCTTAAAGATCCACGTAGCAGCCATCAGCTTCTTTTCAAAGGCGACGTTTGCGCAAGATCCATGTAGCGATTTCCTGATCCGTAGAGCCATTGAAGGTTGGGGCAGGTTACAACCGCCCAGGACCGTGGGTCGTAAGCCTATTTCTTATGGATTGCTATCTCAGATACGCGTAAAGCTCAGGACAATTTGTTGGTCTAAGTTTGAGGCACGGCTCTTCTCTGCGGCTTACGCTATAGCCTTTTTTTGGTGCGCTCAGAGTGGGTGAGGTTGTGTGTGAAGCTAGTGCGCGGGGTTTAACTCGCGGCCTCCTGTGGGAGGATGTGCAGCTATCCGAATCTGCTGTGTCAGTACTGGTGCGTCAGTCCAAGACCGATCAGACTGGCAAGGGTGTCCTGCTCAAGCTCACGGCGTCGGCCCAGCAGGGCCCATGTCCGGTGAAGGACACGAGGCGGTTTCTCCGCCTAAGACCTGCCATCCCGGGACCGTTCCTGATACACGAGGATGGGTCGCCCCTGTTGAGGTACCAATTCACTAGAGTAATGCGCAAGGCTATTGAGGCTTGTGGCCTACCCCCCCATGAGTATGCTGCACATTCGTTCAGGATCGGGGCCGCCACCACGGCCGTGCACCTGGGGTTGCCGGCAGAAAGGATAAAAGAGTTGGGCCGGTGGAAATCCAATGTTTATAAGTCGTATATTCGCAACCTGACACCTACCCCTTAGTCTGCTTACCCTTCCTTTTGTTCTATCTTTGTTCCCAGCTTTGCCCGGAAGAAACGTGTGGATTTGCGGTCATAGCATTGTTCATTGGGCCCGCGTGCGAGCGGTGAGCTGCGGCCTGGCACCCAACCTTGGTCTGCCACGTGACGTTCGAGTTTCCTGGTTTTCGAGAAGAGGCATGCGTTGGGAAGAACTGATGCCTTTGCTGCGGGAGAAAATAGCCAAGCTCGGCTCTCCCGACATCCTGGTGATTCATTTAGGGGAGAATGACCTTGGCAACAAAAAGAGTGTGGACTTGCTGTCGAGCATAAAAAGAGACTTGAATGCATTCGCGACCCTGTGTCCCAGAGCAACAGTGTGCTGGTCCTCCTTTTTGAAAAGAACTGTGTGGCGCGGTGCGCAAGACTGTATGGCCATTGAAAGAACCAGGAAACTCGTAAATCGGGCGGTAGCCCGTTGGGTGCGCTTTATGGATGGCCGAGTGATTTACCATGACCGTATCCGGATTAGCGACAAAGCTTTATACCGGGATGACGGTGTTCCACCTATCTGATTTGGGGAATGACTTCTGGTTAGCTAGTGTCATTAAAAACATCTGGGATTGGTTGCAG